CACACGTCGTGTAATATCATGTCATACCCATCCATATCATAGTAGACCATACCATACCATACCATATCATGCAACATCCTCCTACTTCCTCTCTTTTCTCTCTCTTGTTCCTCATCCTCTCTCCTCCCTTCTCGTTCCCTGGACCCTCCTCGCAGACCCCCTCCCGTCGTGCAAGAATGGCGGACAGTTTCTGGCCATGCTCTGCCTGTGGGGGTCTTCACTGGGCCCTGGGGGCAGCTAAATACGAACTGGGATGAAAAGCCAGTCCCAGGGAAGGGGTCGAGTCCTTCTTGGGCCTATGCTGCGAAACATCACACCTCGGGTGTCTCTCCTCCAATATCAGACAACACACACAGGGGAAACGAGAGGGAGAGAGAGAAGCTCCGAGTAGTCCTCGGGGTCAAAACTCGACCAAGACCCGATGCCGACTGCGGGCTTTGCGATTCCAAGAGTGCAGTCTAGAAGCTTTCTTCTCTACCTCCTCCCTCGTCTCCACGGTCTAGAGGGCCTCCTCCCCTCGAGCCGCCCGAACCGCTGCGAGAGTCCGGCCCCAGGGATGGCGTCGAGAGCACTGGTGGCCCGCGTCGCGTGAAAGGCACAATGTCGGAGGTCCGTGGTATTGCCCTTTCGGTTCTCTGATCCCCACATCGCTGGCTCGATTCGAGTCGATTCGAGTCGATTCGAGTCGATTTCGACTCCCCTGGCTCGATTCGAGTCGATTTCGACCGATTCCGATTCTGATCCGATTCGATTTTGGATTGGGATGTTGGCTCTGGCTTCTCGGTGGAGGCCTCGCTGGCCTGCCGATCTCCGCCCGTTCGAGTTTCCCCCCAGCTTGGCCTGCCGACTTCCGCCGATCTGCTTGCGTTCGATCGCCGATCCGTCCTGTCAGCGATTCGATGCCGGGCTCTCCTGAATCTGTGCGCCTGCGACAGGGTCTCTGGACGCCCGAAATGGGTACTGAAAGAATGGGTACTATGCCCAACAGCAGTTCCTGTTCATTTTGAACAAGATCCGCTGTCCACGCCGCCGCGGCCTGTGTCCATTCGAGACAGGAGGCCGCCTGCCCAACAGCGGCCGCTGTTGGTTTGGGACAACATTTGCTGTTGGGCATTGTACCCATTCTTTCCGTGCCCATTTCGGGCGTCCAAAGGGTCGTGGTTTGCGCGTCAAGCCCCGACATCTGCCGATCTGCTGATTTTTCAACTCGCGGCCCCAGGCGTCCCGACCGCTCCCCCAGGTCCCCCGGGGCTGGTTTCAGGGGCCCGAGAACCGGAGGGTTCCAGAGTGGGTTTCTGGGGAGGGGGTTTCCCAGGAGGGGTCCCCCAGGGGCTTCGCACCCCCTGCTTTGAAGAGGTTCCGAGGCCCCTGGGGCTCTCAGGAAAACCTTCTCCCCCAAACCCCTCTTTGGAACCCTCTGGGAAAACGGCCTCCGAGTGCCGACATTGAGGAAATGCGGGATGAAGAAATCAGATCGTGACAGATCTGGAAGCCTTCACGGTCAGTACCTGACGCTCGTCTGGGCAAGTTGGAGCCAAGCCAAGCGAAGCCGCCAAATTCATCAGAGGTGCGACTAGTTCGCCCTCAGGACGATTGGTGTAGCCAAGCAGCGCATCGCGCAGGTCCACGGGGGCGGAGTCGATTGAGAGAGAGAGAGAGAGCTTGCTACCAACATCTACACGTTAGGAGAAGATGTACATTTCCATGTTGTAAGACCCCCGTCGCACCCATCATCCCCCGTGCCCCTCCTGCCTCGTAGGGCTGGTGAGAGGAGGGGGGCGGGGAGCGAGGAGGATCGAATATCGAGGAGGAGGATAATATAGTGGAGGAGTAGGAGGAGGATGATCGAGGAGAGAGGAGATAAGGGACAGGGAAGGAGGATGATCGAGTATTGAGGATCGAGGATCGAGAAATCAGGTTGTTGTATTGTTTTTTTGGGGGCCTCCTACATGCCTCCAGAGACCTTGGGGGAGTTTGTGAGGGACGGAGGAGGCGCAAGACTTATGGGAGAGCACGAGGCTGCGCTAAGCACAGGGAGGCAGGCTTGTCAGGCTTGACGACGAGAAGGGTGTATATAGAAAAGGGGTACGACATCTGTTGCATACGGACGGTTTCAGTTCCGCCGCCAGGCGCTTTGCACGATGCATTGGCGCCTCCAGGCGCAGGGAGGTGTTGGCAAAACCAGCTACGTGAGTCGGCTCACTAGCACCTCCTCAATTATCCCCCGCCGTTCGTCCGACCTGACTCTCTCCACCCACTTTTTCCCCCCTTCACAACGATATAATATGAATACTGTATACTACTCTCCTCTCTGATGACGTCCGGAAGATGTTCGGCCCCCCTTCGCGTATTCTTCCGGGGATTCCCGGGAGTCTGACTTTAGTTTTAGTTTTTGATAGTGTTGCTCTCGCTGAAGCGCTGGCCTCATTTTCGGGCTTCCGCTCGTTCCGAATCGTGCTCCCGTTGCAAAGCCGGCTGCATTTTCGCGCTTCCGCTCGTTCCGAATAGTGCTCCCGCTGCAGCGCTGGCTTCATTTCCGCACCGCCGCTCGTTCCGAATCGTGCTCACGCTGCAGCGGTGGCGTCGTTATTTCAAGTGCCATGACACGGCATGCAACATAATGCTATGTGGCGTTCTGTTGTGCGATGCCATGCCTTCAGCTGCAATGCTAGGATATGTAGTGCCTGACTACGCAGTGCCACGCCATTCTCTGCCATGCTACTCTGTGATCTTCAATGCCATGCTATGCCATGTTCTGTTTTGTGCCGCTGTGCGATGCCATCCTTGGCGTTGTAATGCTTTGTGATGCACCTCTGCACTGCGCAACGCCACGCCATGCAATGACATACTACGCTCTGCCGTGCTTTTCTACGCCCTGCTATGCCGTGCTCTGCGATGCATCGCGCACCTTCTCGGGATCATTGCTCTGCTCTACATCCGACTGTGCGAATAGTGAGGGGATCAACGCCATGGTAAGGGATGGGAGGGAGGGGTAGGACGTCAGATATGACGCGAGAGCACCTAGCTTGCCTGCTCCCCCCTCCCTCTCCTCCCCAGCCCCTGCGGCGTGTCGGTCCAGCGTTCATGTTTTTACGGGGGACAACGTTCAAGCAGCTCCCGCTGCAAACAAGGGTGCGTTACAGCACCCAGCTTTTATGATGGGCAGCGTTTCAGCAGTCCACGGTGTGCGCTCCAGCATCGCATTTGATACCGATCGCGGCCGTCCGAACCTCCGTCTTTGCCAACGCAGACGAACTCACCTGGTTAAACAACAGACTCGCAAGTTGTTCCATTGACTGGAGGGTGAGGGGGGGGAATGTCGTTCTGCGGGGCCACTGTTCCCCCGGGCTTTCCTTGTCCAGAAGTGGTGGTGGTGATGACGCTATTGGCGACGGCGAACATGATGACTGTGATGGTTATGCCGAGTGCGAATGTAATGCATAGCGTGATGACGGCGAGTCTGATTATGTTGGTGATGCTAGCGGTCATGACGCTTACGATGCCGACGGTGATCCTGAAGGTACATGACGATATATGACGGCACATGCTTGTGATTATTGTGAGGATTGTTATGACGATGCAGGTGCCGGCGATGATGATGATGATAATGAGGATGAGGATGGCTAGGCGCGGGAAGAGCGGCGAAGGATAGACACGAATCAAGCGAAGAACGCGAAGAGCTTGATGATCGCCAACGTCGTGACTGGTGGAGCGATCAGCGCGTGGAACGCGGCCAACGAGGACTTGCGCCATCCTCTATTCTTCCGCCTCCTCGTTGCAATCCTCCCTCCTTCCCTATCTCCTGCTTTCCTCCGCTTCCCCCTCCTTCCTCTCTTCTTCTTCCCGCTTCCCCACGAGAGAACGTGTTGAAGAGCACAGTCTTTTTTTCGCTAGGTTATTCAGATGGTCAGATGTCCATCAGATGTCCATCTCGGCCAATGTCTTGTTGGAACTATATCCGTGCCATCCCCCCATGTCGTAGGCCCGAACATTCCATGGCTCGTTACGCCTAGTAGACTTGCCCCCCCATCCCCCCACCTACCTCTCGACCCCTTTCCCAGGGCGGCGTCGCATCGGATGCCATGTTTGGACGGTCGTGGGGCGCGACCTGGAGGGGGAGGAGGAGGAGACGGAGGAGGCTGAGGAGGAGGAGGAGGAGGAGGAGGAGGAGGAGGAGGAGGATGAGGAGGGAGACGAGGAAGAGGAGGAGGAGGATGAGGAGGATGAGGATGAGGAGGGGAGGAGGAGGATGAGGAGGAGGAGGAGGAGGAGGAGGAGGAGGAGGAGGATGAGGAGGAGGAGGAGGAGGAGACGGAAGGAGGGAAGAGGAGGAGGACGAGGGGGATGGAGGGGGAGGAGGAGGAGGAGAGGAGGAAGAGGAGGACGAGGAGGAGGAGGAGAACAGGAGTAGGACGAGGAGGAGGAGGATGGGTGAGGAGGAGGAGGACGAGGAGGAGGAGAAGGAGGAGGAGAAGGAGGAGGAGGAGGAGAAGGAGGAGAGGAGGAGGAGGAGGAGGAGATGATGATGACGAGGAGAGGAGGAGGAGGAGGAGACCGGGGATGATGATAGGAGGCGGAGGGGGAGGGGGAGGGTAGGAGGAGGAGTCAGGAGGAGGAGGAGGGGAAGGAGGAGGAGGAGGAGGACGAGGAGGAGGAGGAGGATGGTGGAGGAGTGCGGAATGGAAAGAGGAGGAGGAGGAGGAGGAGGAGGAGCGGAGGAGGAGGAGGAGGGTAGGAGGAAGAGGAGGAGGAGGCAAGAGGAGGAGGAGGGGGGGAAGGGGGAGGAGGAGGAGGGGGGGGTGGAGGATGAGGAGGAGGAGGAGGGTGTGGGAGGAGGAGGAGGAGGAGGCGGAGGAGGAGGCGGCGGAGGAGGAGGATCTGAGGAGGGGGAGGAGGAGGAGGAGGAGGCGGAGGAGGAGGGGGAGGAGGACGAGGATGAGGATGAGGAGGAGGAGGAGGAAGACGACGACGAGGAATACGACGAATCATGATATTACTAC